AGCACAGTTAACATCCAATTCGATATATATACTTCATTTCCATGAACATTCTTAGCATTTCAAAATTATTCTCCTCCTTCCATCACAAGGAAAATTAATCATACTATGTATTTGATATGCATATATCAAAAGTTGAATTCATATTTTTTTTTAACATTTTTAATATTTAAATATTGATTGCATGTATTAAATTTAAAAATTTAAAATTTAAAAATATTTTTTTAAAACTCAATATTTTTCATTGAAAAATTAATTTTATAATCTCTATACTTTGTAATGATTGTAAAATTACATAAGTTGAACAATTAAAGTCGTAGTATAAAACATATAATAGTATATTAACAGGTGRCATTCCTGCGGTTCGTGTAGTGAMTGGGATTTTAGTCAACTGGTGGTAGGTTACTGAGGTTGATGGTTTTAGTGGWTGTAATGGTTTTGTGATGACTGGGTGTGGGCGGGAGGTTTATATTATCCCGGAACTCTGTTCTGTATATCGATTACCGTATATGTTCTACTTACAGTTGTTATTTCAACTTGCGCATGTCAAATTCAGAGTTGAAATATCGATTGACTTGCAGATACTAGCGCACATTATCGGTAGCTAAGCGACRAAAAGAGGTTGGTGTATGATACGCTGCCTCTTACAGTCTCGAGAGTCCAACGTGAAAAAAACATTTTGAATTACAAGAGAAACAGAGATTTACAAAACAATATTTCTATCAAAATAAATTACAATAAAGTGAGTTAATATTAAAAATAGTAATATAATATATACATTTATAATTAATGAAATCGTCATTACTTTATTATTGCAGCCGGGTCACTTAAACCTTACGTCAACCATTCATTTCTGATATAAGTAGCTACACATAAATATAACACAGGTTTGATAACTTTTTTTAATTTTTTTTTTTTCGTTGTAAGTAATTTAATGATGTATTTTATTTTCCATGATTTAAAATCCAACAAAAATAATCGATAATACTTTCAATTTGATCAGGAAGAATGATAGCAAATTGTGTAACAACTGCCATGTATATGTACATAACTCTCCATTTCATACACAATTTTAATGAATATTTGTCCGTGGGATATATGAATAAAAATCTAGTTGTTCCTGAAAAAGTATTTAGAAGTTATGCTGTCAATCGTGATGAACCGATAAGTAAGTACTGGTTAAAAAAAAAAAAATCTTAAAAACAAAGAATAAAAAAAACTTTTATTAATAAGTACACAAATTTAGTTTAATATCATTAGAATTAAATTCTTGGTGTATATTTTAAATAAGTATTGTGTCCCAATGACCTACATCACCGCGAAAAAAAAATTATTTAGGTACCTAATTGTTAAATAATTATTAATTTTGAGAAATATATAAAAGATTGGTAGCTATGTATAAAAAAATACACATATGCTTACATATAATATGTATATATATATATATAATATATTATCTTTTTAATATTGCAGAATATTTTATTGGACTTATTAACAAAAATAATTATATTATTGTATTTTATTCAAGATTTCTGTTATAGATTAACTAACTTAAATTAAATTGATTTTTTTTTATTAAACCATTAAATATATGGTGTTTTTTTTAAATAATAGTTACAATTTATGAAAAAAAAGTTACTAAACA